CGCATGTAAAACATAAATACAGTTTAAACACAGTACAATAAACCCTTTATAATAAACACTTCTCTACAGTAGTTCATAGAATTATGGAATTATAGAGTTGGAAGAGACCTCGCTGGCCATCCAGTCCAATTCCCTGCCAAGAAGCAGAAAAATTACATTTTTCTTCGTGGTCTCTGCGAATGCACACTTGTGGAGAGACTGCGCCTGCACGGGCTCCAACGGAAACTTCTTCATTTTAAAACTTTTGAAGTTTTGGCGGTAACCCCACCCAGCCCCGGCAGGGGATAAAAGGGCGCCCCGCGCACACCGATCCAATTCCTTTTTTTCCGCCGCACGGCTCGCTTCGGTACTTCTAGTGTTGGATTGTGTTGGATAGTGATCCTTAGAGTTTTACTTAGAGTTCTACTCAAGTTGTTTGACTGTATTATGTCAACAACTCGCTTCAAAAGATGCGCGAATTGTCCGAGGAAGATCCCTGATTCGGACAAGCACGCTCTTTGCCTCTTGTGTCTCGGAGAGGCACATATCACCTCCTCGTGTCGTCATTGTCAATCATTGACGGCACAGTCCCGTAAGAACCGGGTCCATCGGCTTCGATACCTTCTGTACCAGCAGACGTTGGCTCCGGTACCTTCAACTTCGACATCGGTGTCGACGTCAGCCGCGGTATCCAGGCCTTCGACATCAGCTTCGACGTCGAAGGCATCGACAACAACATCTGTCGATCCCTCGACGGAGGCCGAGCCTCGCCAAACAAGGGCGAAGAAGGCCGCACAGAAAAGGCCGAGAGCAGCTATGTCAACGACCTCGAAGGCCTCAGTGTCGGCAGCTTCTAAGACTGCAAAGCCTACGAAACAGAAGGCTCCATGCACGGTCACTACTGAGACCGTACGCATCCGACACTCGTCGACCAGCTCGGTGGCGACGGTGAGATCGATCAGGTCCACGAGGTCGACGTCGGCGACTCCGCCATCTTCCACGGCGGTTCGCATTGCCTTTCGCCGGTCTCAAGAAGAGTCTTGGCGCGCTTCCACCTCATCCTCCGTCCCGCCCACCCCGGGCAAGTCGGTGTCAAAGTCTGCTCAGCCGCCGGCAAAGAAGAAGAAGATGATGCCGCCTCCATCCTCATCTTCTTCTTCTTCCCGAAAGCAAACCACTGCCTCCTCGGCCACCTCGTCGGCGAGGTCATCTCCGTCGCAGCCTGCTGAACCCCAGCTGGCTCCACAGCCTGTTCAGGGGCCGCAGCCTTTGCCGGAGCAGCCTTCGGAGCAGCCCGAGTCCCTGGTGATCTCGGTGGACACGGTGATCGAGGCACCAACTCGACATGTGACAGCCAGACAGGAGCTCTTCCCGTCGGTCACGACTTTGACTACTGTGACAGCCAGACAGGAGACTTCTCCAGTGCTGGAGACTCCGGAGAGGGGCAGGCAAACTATGAGACTGGCCCGTGCCATTCAGGCCTCGGCCTCAAAAGCTCCCCCAGTGGCTCCTCTGCAGCTTCCGAGTCGGGATGTCTCTTCATCCCCTCCTCCCCGATCCCTGGCTGCTGACGATGAAGAGGAAGATGGCGAGTTACCGGGATCGGTACACTCAGGATCGGTGCTGTCCCTCGGGATCGAGAGATCACCTACCCACGACGCCTATGAGGCTGACCCTCCATCTCCCACTGACAATGTCCGAGCCTTTGCGGATCAAATGGCTCGCATGGCTGATGCTCTAAGCCTGGAGGTCAAGCAAACTTCCAAGGCAGTGCTGGACCCAGTGTTTAAAAGGGTGCAAGCGGAGTCCCCACCCGCTCCTCTTCTACCCTTCCTTCCCTATCTCCTTGAAGTGATCCAGGGCTCCTGGAAGACCCCCTCCTCCATCCCTCCAACCTCCAAGAAAATTGAATCTTGGTACAGAACGGACGATGAGGGCTTGGAGTGGCTGAAACACCATCCCGACCCTAACTCGGTGGTCGTGAAAGCGGCTCAGGGGTTCGGAAGACAGTCGTCGGCGCCGTCCGACCGTGAGGGGAAGAGATTCGACGCAGTGGGCAGGAAGCTTTACTCCGGTGCCCTCTTACTGGCCCGCATGGCGAACTATGGGGCTTGTATGGGAGCGTACCAGCAAATTCTCTGGGAGAAAGCAGAACCCTTTTTTCAGAGGATGTCTGCCGAGGATCGTGCTGCTATGACCACCCTGGCTCAAGAGGCAAACTCTCTGGCGCATCATCAGATGCAGATGGCCAAACACACGGGGGACACTGCGGGCAAGATGATTGCTCACGCTGTGGCAATCAGGAGGCATGCCTGGCTGAGATCATCTGGCCTCTCTACCTCATCGAGGCAGGTGATCGAAGACCTTCCGTTCGATGCCCTGGGGCTCTTCAACGCCGGGACGGACGACAAACTGAAGTCAAATCACGACTTCAAGACTTTGGCCTCTAAGTGTGGTTTTGAGAATCAAAACCAGGCACAAAGAACCAGATGGTTCCAATACAAACGCCGGCACACGGTCCCGTACCGTACCATTCAGTACCGTCATCCAGCCCGTCCCCTGCAGACCTCCCAACAAACCCATCCTCAACAACCCCAACAGCAACGAAGGCAACACCAGCAGCAGCGCTCTCGCTCTCGCCAGGCTTCAGGAGGCAACCAGGCCAGGCGCCGCATTTGACGCCCTTGTGGACGATACCGTTTGCAGTTTCGTTACCGATGTTGTTCCCATGTCCCTCCCAATGGTACCCGCCCTCATCCTTCCATCCGGCTCGACACCGTTCGGGGATCGCCTGACGAACTTTCTCCCTGCATGGGAAAATATCACCTCAGATGCATGGGTTTTAAAGATTGTCGACGAAGGCTATGCATTGGAGTTCGAAGAGCTCCCACCAACAGGGCTGATTGTCGATACCGAGCCTTCCTCGGCGATCCTGACAGAGGTCAATACCTTGCTTTTGAAAGGGGCAATTTCCCCTCTCCCGGACTCTCAAAACCATCGAGCCTTCTTCTCCAGATACTTTACTGTCCCAAAGCCGGATGGCTCCCTTCGCCCCATCCTCGATCTCAGAGACTTAAACTCTTTCATCGAACCGCAGAAGTTTCGGATGGTGACGGTATCGTCCATTCTCCCGCTCCTCAGATATGGGGACTTTTTCGCAGCGGCCCTCCGAAGGGAAAAAATCCGCATTTTTCCTTACTTAGACGACTGGTTGTTGGCGGCATGCTCCCCGGACCTCCTGCGAGCGCAGGTGGCAAGGACACTCTCCCTCCTCGAAGACCTGGGCCTCCAGTTGAACGAGGAGAAATCCCAGCTCGAGCCCACCACTTGCATAAAGTTCATCGGCGCCATGTTCGATTCTCTCTCCCAGACAGT